CATTGTGTTGGGAGGATTTGCTATCCCTATAACATTTATCCAATTTAGGAGGGGATTATTCTGGTTTGTTGCACAGTCAGCCAGATGTTCAGACTGGATTTGGCATTTGTTTCTACCTATCGAGTCCTTTCAAAGTCCTAGGTTAGGCAGATGGGGCTGTTTGATGGTAGTACAGATATCATCACAGGATGTAAGCTACTCCGAGTAAAACCACTTTTTGCAATTGGGGGATTGATCAAAAGACTCATTTTGATGCAAGACAAAAGGTTTATTTCAGGAATAATTCAAGAAGTACTTTGATTTAAGGCTCTAAAAAATCTCTTAGGACAAATCAGGAAGGTGAAAAAATATGTAAGAAAATAGTAGCTTAAGAGTGATCCCATCAAATTTGAAAAAAAGTAATGGAATAGTGATACAATGAATGTGTTATTGTTTGTTATAGGAAAAGTACAGAATGAGCCTAAAATGAGAAGCTGACCTGGATGCTTGCCAAGCAAGCCTTCACACAAATAAAGGGATTTCTTTCTCCTTATTTCAGATTCAAAAATGACAGAAGACATGTCTCCCCATTGCCTGGCATCTGATAAATGGAGAGCCAGTAGATCTCATTCTGGTTTCTTACCTTTTGCAGCACCAGAGAGATCTGCAGGATCCACACTCTATATTGAAAGGCTTAAACAAGTATCCGAGAGCATATGAGTCTTGTCATGTGAGTTGGAATAGTGATTTCAGGATCAGGTTTTCCCTCCTTTCCACTAAAGAGCAGTAGATCCCAAAGGATTGACTAAAAACACGAGGGGGGTTGCCATGTAGTAGGCAGAGTTTATCTGGGAAGCTGAAAAGTACAGCTAGTTTGAATAGCTAATTCTTGGAATAAATCAATAAGAGGCTCTGCCAGCTCACTCAGGAAGAAGCACCCCCCCACCCCGAGGCCAAGAAATGCCCCCCAAGAGAAGTTGATGCATCCTGTTTTCCATAATGGATCTGGATTAGGATGCCTTCCTACACTTTGGGAAAGGCCTCCATCAGAGCCTCTTAAGGGAAAAACATTGGTGGAAACCTGGTCATGGGTGAAAGAGCAAATATACTTTATACTAATCATATTAAAATGGAAGACAACGTGGGCATTGGAGGGGGAGGGATGATGGTGAAGGAAGCAAATGACAAAATATGCATCATAATATCATCTGCAAGTACATAAGAGACATAAGACACATTTTAACATTTACTTGTTGTGGATGCCCCAAAACACAACCATGTTTGATATTTTGGACTCATCTTCAAATGGCCCCAAAATGTCTAACAGTTTCTAAAGGCCATATTTTCACAACATGCTTCATCCCCAGCCCACTGCAGAGACAAGTCTACATTCATCTTTCAGTGTTTCAGCTTCATAGTAATATTTTTCTTTTGCGCCTGAAACAAGCTTTGTTATAGGGATGATATGCTGTATCTCACAGATGAACTTGGTGATGCTGCTGCCCAGATCTTAGCTGGCCTTTTAAGATTGCCTGGTATAGCACTCTCCCATTTATAAATTTGAATTATATCAAGAGCAAAGCTAAACATGGCAAGAATTTGGGTGTACAAATGTAAGGTATAGTGGCTTACAGTAGTGCCCCTATTTTATTTTCTGGATGTGTGAACCCCTCAAAAAGGATTTGCAGTATTCGATCATCTGTGTTCTTGAGGGATAACTCTAACGTTCTTGCTATCTTGTTTTTTTTTTTAGTATTTCTGCAAGATGTCTGTTGCTATATTCAGTCAGGATCTTTCCAGCAAGTGATGTGTTCAGAAATTTACAATTATTTCTTGGAAAAACAAGCATGGGCTATATTTTTATAGGAACTGTAGGGAATGTGACTATGTATGGCAAATGAACTGCCTCTCCCTGGATATGTTTCCAGAATATTGACCATCAAAAGACAGTAGCATAGATCAAAGTGAAAGGGGAAAAAATCACTCACTGTAGTGTCTCTATTGTATTTTCTGAATGTTTGAGTCCATCATACAGAAGTTCCATTGTTTTGTCATCTGGGTTCTCGAGGGACAACTTTAACACTCTCAATCTCTGGTTTTTCCAGTCATGTAGACGTTCTACGAACGACGTCCTAAACCAGTCCTAGAGAGGTTATTACGACGTCTGTTCTCAAGTTTTATAATGTTAATAGAGAACTTTTGTTCGTACCTGACAGAAGAACGTCTTTAACTTTTCTTATACTTATATTATGGCATTGAAACTGCCTCTTCATGAATATCTTCAGTCATCCAAGTCATGGTTGTTGTCCCAAAGCTCTATCAGGAGGCAACTAGACTTTCTTGTTTTTCTTTGAAGATGTTTCACTTCTCATCCAAAAAGCTTCTTCAGCTCTGACTGGATGGTGGGAAATGGAAGAATTTATATTCCTTGCAGACAGTTTATCATTCTTTTAGAGAGCTGTTGAAGCCATTTGGAGGTTTATCTGTGTCCTCAGGGTCACCTAAGTAGTGCAAATGTGTGTGGAGCCTTCTTGGCTGCGGGATGTTTTCTGCCATATATCCCTTCAATGTTGAGGACATAGATAAACCTCCAAATGGCCTCAACGACTGGTTTCTCTTGAGTACTTCTGCAAGATGCCTTCTGAAATATTCAGTCAGGATCTTTCCAGCAAGCCTGCAGTGATGTGTCCAGAAATTTCTTAAAAAACAAGCGGGGACCAAAATTCTTATAAGAACTATAGGGAATATGACTATGTATGGCAAATGAACTGCTTCTCCCTGGATATGTTTCCAGAACATTAACCAACAAAAGATGATTATATGGATCAAAGTGAAAGAGGAAAAAAATCACTCACTGTAGTGTTTCTATTGTACATTCTGAATGTTTGAGTCCATCATACAGCAGTTCCATTGCTGTGTCATCTGGGTTCTCGAGGGACAACTTTAACACTCTCAATCTCTGGTTTTTCCAGTCATGTAGACGTTCTACGAACGACGTCCTAAACCAGTCCTAGAGAGGTTATTACGACGTCTGTTCTCAAGTTTTATAATGTTAATAGAGAACTTTTGTTCGTACCTGACAGAAGAACGTCTTTAACTTTTCTTATACTTATATTATGGCATTGAAACTGCCTCTTCATGAATATCTTCAGTCATCCAAGTCATGGTTATTGTCCCAAAGCTCTATCAGGAGGCAACTAGACTTTCTTGTTTTTCTTTGAAGATGTTTCACTTCTCATCCAAAAAGCTTCTTCAGCTCTGACTGGATGGTGGGAAATGGAAGAATTTATATTCCTTGCAGACAGTTTATCATTCTTTTAGAGAGCTGTTAAAGCCATTTGGAGGTTTATCTGTGTCCTCAGGGTCACGTAAGTAGTGCAAATGTGTGTGGAGCCTTCTTGGCTGCGGGATGTTTTCTGCTGTCTGCAAGGAATATAAATCCTTCTATTCCCCACCATCCAGTCAGAGCTGAAGAAGCTTCTTGGATGAGAAGTGAAACCTCTTCAAAGAAAAACAAGAAAGTCCAGTGGCCTCCTGAAAAAGCATCTTTGGGACATACTTTCAGAACATTAATAGTGAAAGATTTTGAAATCTTTCAGATAAACAACAACAAAAACAAATGTCAGAAAAATAGAACTACAAATAGTTAAAAAGGTTAAATACCTGGGAATATACTTAACAGCAAGATGTTCAATGAATTAAGATGAAAATGTTACAAGATGCCAAGGAAAATGGAGGTTTTGCTTTACCAGAATGGGTTTTATATTATCAAACATCTATATTAACATGGGTAAAAGAATGGATAATTCTTAGAAACAAAAGGTTGTTATATTTGGAGGGACATGATTTACAATTGGGATGGCATGCTTTCTTATAGTACGGGAAAAATAAAATTCATAAGTACTTTCAAAATCACTCTATAAGAAATGCATTATTAACAACATGGGAAAAAATAAAATGTAAAATATATCTGAAAATTTCAGGGTGGCTTTCAACAATTTGTACATTTGTGCACCCAAATTTAGTTGATTTTGAAAAAATCCGGACATACAGAGATATTCTAAACTCTGAAGGGAATTTAAAATCTAAACAAATGGAAAATCAGGGTATCAATCTATCATGGTGGGCACATTTACAAATGCAAGTTAGATATGATAAAGATGTTAAACTGTATGGATTATACAAGGAGCAAACTTTGTTTGATAAGGTATTATTAACTTCTGATGAGAAACTAATTAAGAAAATTTATAATTTTCTATTAACTTTGAAAATAGAAAGCGAACAAGTTAAAGAAACAATGATAAGATGGGCAAAAACTTTTGGATACAATATAGAATTAGAAAAATGGCAAAATTTGTGGGAAAGAAATTATAAACTGACAATGTCAACTTCCTATAAAGAAAATTTATATAAAATGTTTTATAGTTGGCACTTGCCACCAGCAAGACTAGCAAAAATGTTTAAAAACATGTCAGATAGATGTTGGAAATGCAAATATAAGTCAGGCACTCATTATCATGTTTGGTGGACATGTGCCAAAGCAAAGAGTTATTGGAAAAAAATACATGCCTGGCTAGAAAAGATGTTGGGAGAATACGTAGATTTTAAACCTGAACTTTTTTTATTAGGTATAATGCCAGAAAAGATTGATAAACAAAACATATATTTGACTTTGCATGTTACAACAGTGGCAAGAATTATATTTGCGCAGTATTGGAAAAATGAAGAAATACCATCAGATGAAGAAATAATTAAAAAAATATTAGAATGTGCAGAGATGGATAGACTGACTCTGAGGATGAAAGAAAAAGTTAATATTATCAAACTTGGGACTTATTTTTTCGATGGTTTGATGAAAGAATAAAGTATTAGGAACTAAATATGTATTAGTGAATGTAAATTTAGATAAATACTACTGAATGTATGAAAAAAACAATAAAGATCTTTTTTTAAAAGAAAAGAACATTAATAATGAAAGGAGTTGTGCAGCTCAAACAGAGAGAAAAAAAAACAGTCACTTACTATAGTGTCTCTATATTACTTTCTTTGAGTCCCTCACAGAGCAGTTCCGTTGTTTGGTCATTTGTGTTCCTCAGGAATGACTCGATTTCCCTCATTTCCTGGTTTTTGCTGAAATATGCAAGTAAAAAGCTGCATGCTTCATTTAGCAAGTGTCCAATATACCTGCAGAGAAAAGTCAGAAAAATTAAAATTAACTATTGAAAAAGAAGCATGGACTATATTATTGTAGGTACGGAATATAATTGTGTATGACAACTAAACTGCCCCTCTCTGGATATATTTCAACAATATTAACCATTAAGAAAAGGTTGTGTACCTTAAACTGAAAGGGAAAAAAATAACTTACTGTAATGTAGCTTGTATACATTCTGGATTTTTTAACTCCTCAAGCAGCGGTGCTATTGGTTGGGCAAATATATTCTTCACAAATGACTCTAAATCTCTCAATCCCTGATTTTTTTCAAGTATTGCAAATACCTTGTGGTAGGAATCATTCAGGAACTGTCTGAGAAGCCTGCAGGGAAGAATCAGAAAAATCACAATTAACTCTTGAAAAGCAATCATGGACTGTGTTGTATGAATTGAAGAGAACATGATTATGTATGACAACTAAACTGCTTCTTTCTGGATATATTTCCAGAATATTAACTGTTAAGAGAAGATTATGTACTTTCATTTAAAAGGAAAAAGAATAAGTTACCCTAGTCCCTTTTTTGTACATTCAGGTTCTTTGAATCCCAGAAGGAGCAGTTCTATTGTTTTGACAACTACGTTGTTCAGAAACGAATCTAACTCTCTCAATCTCTGGTCTTTCCTGAAAATATGTGTAAGATGCGTGCTGCCGTATTCAATCAGGAACTGTCCAGCAAGTCTGCAGATAAGAGTCCAAAAAATTATAATTGAAAAACAAGCATGGATTATATTCTTATAGGAACCGAAGAGAATTTATGTATAGTAACTGAACTTCCTCTCCCTGAATATATTTCTATTATGTTAATCATTAAGAGATGACTGTACACATTAAACTGAAAAGAAAAAAAATCAATCACTTACTGTGTCATCTGCATTTTATCTGCTAGATCTCTGAACTCATCAAAAATAAATTTCAGTGTTTTGTGATCTGGGTGATCTGGGTGATCTGAGTCATCTGAGTCATCTGGGTGATCTGGGTCATCTGAGTCATTCTTGAAAAACTCTTCCAATTTCTGGTTCTTTCTGAGTATCTCCTCAATGAGTCTGTAGTTGGATTTTGCCAAAAAATTTTCAAGATACCTGCAGAAAAGATTCTGAAAAATTACATTTCTTGAAAAACAAGAATGAACTTTACAGTTGTAAGAACTGAAGAAAATAGGATTGTGTATGGCAACTGATCTGCCTCTGAGGGATCCTTGGTACTCTCTGAGCTTGTTTTCTTGCAGACGTTTCATTACCCAAATTACGTAACATTATCAGTGCTGGTTAGAAGTGGGGTTTGCTCTCAATTTATATTCTGATGTCTTGCCTTGTCAATATTGGTGGGGGTGGCCTTAAAGATTCTTTAGCTGGGCTGTTTGCCGTTTGCTTTGTTGGCAGTTTCTTGATTGAGGCATTATTTACTTGATTGGTGGTCTGATGTTAATCTTGGAGTAAATCTATGTTGATCTGGGTGATGATTGCTGATGGAGAGGTGCTTGAATATTTTTGTTCCCTTTTTTGGCTAGCTGATTGTCTCTTTTGCATAGTCTATATATATTGTTAATGTCAGAATATAAACTGAGAGCAAACCCCACGTCCATCTAGCACTAATGATGTTACCATTTTGGGTGATGAAATGTCTGCAAGAAAACAAGCAAGCTCAGAGAGCAACAAGGGCCCCTCATTTCAACCCCTAGCTACAAATATTCTCCTTTATTAATCTGCCTCTCTCTGGATAGTAGTATATAACTGTTAAGAGAGCTGTGCATATAAAACTGAAAGTGAAAGAAAATGAATTACCATAGTGCATCTATTATACATTCTGGATATTTGAGCAATTCAGGCAGCAACTCTATTACTTTGTCAAATGTTTTCTTCAGGGGTAACACTAACTCTTTCAATTCCTCACTTTTCTTCAGTACCTCTGCAGGATCCCTGCTGCCAGATTCACTGAGGAACTGTCCAACAAGCCTGCAGAGAAGAGTCCAAAAATTACAATTATCTCTTGATAAACACATATGGACGGTATTCTTTTTTTACACAGTATTTTATTAGTTAATCAAAATACAAAATACAGAAATACAAAGAAAAATGAAAATAATGGGTAAACGGGAGGAAAGGGTGAAGAAGAAAAAACCGTGTAGGATGAGGGGTACAGTAGAATAAGTTAATAACATACCTCAGCTTTTTCCTTTTACATAATAATACATACTAGCCATTCCTTATAATAACAAACCTATCTAATCAGCAAAATTCAAATCAAAGTTTCATTTTTTCCACCCGCAAGCACAAAATCCAAAAGTATTTTCCAAGTAGAAACTAAATTAATTGTATTCTTTTCTTTAATCAAAATAGTCAATTTAGCCATCGCTGCTAACCCCATCAACTTTTACAGTCATTCTTTCATTGTAAGAATCAAAATGTTCCTCCATTTTTGAGCATAAAATATTCTGGCTGCTGTTAGCATATATAGCATCAAAGTTCCAATTTTTCCCCAAGTTCTTTATCCATTAAGCTTGAAAGAAAAGTCTCTGGTTTTATCTTTATATTCACTTTAAGAATTTTCTGTATTTAAATGTGAGTCCTACTCAATATTTCTTTATTTTGTCACATGCCTACCATAAATGGTAAAAAGTTCCTTCTTTACATTCATTTCCAACACTGATTTGAAGTATCTTTATACATTTTGACAATTTGTCCAGTGTTAGATCCAACAGTACATCATCTTATCAACATTTTCTTTTAAATTATAATTTAATGTAAATTTAAAACTTTCTGTTGACATGTTTTCCCATTGTTCATGCACTATATTATATGCAAGTTCTCTGCCCACTGAGTCATACATACTCATTCTGCAAGTTCAATTTCAATAGCAATTTATAAACCTTAGCAATAATATATTCATTACTACCACACAATAAAATTTTTAGTTCATTTTTTTACAAAATCAAGTCCATAGGTATTTTTTATCTAAATCTTTCTTTCAGTTGTATATATGTGAACCAATGGGAAATATGTTTCAGATTCTTCTTCTTCAGTCTTGAGGACAGGGTCACCATAATTGAAAAACATTATTTGACCATAAGTCCAACAGTTTGGCTTCACCATCATTTCTTTTCTAAAAAAAAGTTTCCTTGGGTGACTCACAAGAGGCATCTTTGCAGAGAACCTTACTTTATATTTATTCCAAATTCTTAGGATGGCATGTCTAATGAAGTGGTTGTTGAAATCAACATTTTTTAACCTTATCATTCCATAAATAAGCATGCCATCCAAATCTTAATTCATGGCCTTTCAGCTCAAGTAAACACTTAGTTTGGAGAGTCACCCACTCTTAGCCAGACCAAACAAAAGGCATCAAAATATAATTTCAAATCTGGTGAACCCAAACTCCTCTTTCCTTAGCATCTTGCAATACTTAATATCTAATTCTTGGGGTTTTTCCCCCTTTGCCATATAAACATAGAGATGTCTATATAGAGATGTCTATCTGTCACCATTTAAATGGAATAACAGTTATAAATATTGGTAAAATCTGAAACAAAAAAAGCATCATTCAGAATTACAGAATGAAAGACTCTGTAACATTCATCTTAATTACAGTGATTTTACCCAATACGAATAGTTGCAATTTGTCACATCTTAATAGGTCCTTTTTAATTTCATTCCAAAGAGGCATAAATATATATCTGAAACAGTTTAGTGTGGACAGAAAACTTTCCGGTTCGTTTTTCCAGCTGGGACAGGGTTGTCAGCGCAGAAAGAAATAGACACAAAGCGAAGTGAGCTGCCAGAAAGTGGAACCTTTAACTTGGAAGCCAAAAAGTGACACAGCAATAGGGTTCCGGCCTAGCTAGCTGACCAGATGGACAAGTAATGCAATTTGTATACCTTTTCTGGGCTACTGGAATCCCAGTGCCTCTTGATGGTGCTTTTGTTTTTATAATTTTTCTAGCCCGGTCTTTTCCTGAGAAGAAAAGGTTAATCCCATTCTCAGGGGAAGACAGGGCTCCCAGATGGATTTCCGTGTGTGTTTTAAACTAATCCTGTCAATCTCTATTGTTTTTTCAAGAGCTGCTGCTGCTGCCTGCTTTTCTGTGGTTTTCTTATCCTAACTTTGTATCCGCTTGTTAAGTGGTTCTTGGTTGCCTGCCCGGAGCTATTAGGTAGCTGAGGTGGAAAATATTTTTTTTCCTTTGGTGAACCTTTTATTTTTCGGCTTGAGTTTTCTAAAGGGAAATGGCTGCTTTTGGTCAGGATTTCTAACATTAGAATCTGTATTTGTTGATATAACATCCAGATATGTCACCCTTTCCCCCACCATATATCCATGTTTTCTATTCTTAATTTAGATTTGAAATGGCAATTCAAAAAGTAGTCTCTTGTCGTTCTGCTTACAAAATGGATTAAGATATCTCTTGATAGTTTACTTGTGGTGGCAATTCTGGAGTTTACTCTATATATTTTGTCCACTTTAAGCTGTAATTTCTTTTCTTACCAATTATTCTTGATCCAATATTCTCTCCAGACAATTCAGGAACTGCTCAAAATTTTAACTGGAGTTGCTTAAGCGGTAGTTGCAGAAGAGCTTTTTCATCTAAATAAGCTTTATACTGGACATCTTTCTTCTTTCTCCTCCGATTTACACCCCAGGAAATCTACTCTGTCCTTTATCTGTTTAACATCTCCAGTTAAGTGATGTATTGCTTCACAGAGTTCCCTTGAAAGAGTATTAATTTTGGATTCAAGCTTTGCTCCTATTGTCTGGATTGCTTCATGAGTTTTGCTTATATGTTCTTTCAGAATAGCTCTTAGAGATTTTAATTCTCTGACCCTCTTCTCTTTAATATTTTTGTGTTGTCATTTTTCAATCTCTTAAGATATAACTAAGATTTAAAGATTAATAGCATTAATTTCATTTTATTTAGTAATATTAGTAATATTACAATCTTTGGCTCCCTCACATGGTCAAACAGCACCACTACAGCAAAACTATATAATTTGCAGGTAAAGTTCAGGTTCTAATCTCCCTCTGTGGTTAAACATCTCATTACACACAGACACCTTTAAACCTGTGTTGAATTCTTCTCAATCAGAAGCAAGTAAAATTAGAATTTTTTTCCTTCTTCACAACACACTCAAAGTACCATTTAAACAGCCTTTATTCTAAAACTGAAGAAGTTCAACGGTCAGCTTAAAAGAAGCAAAATCCTCTAGGTAGGAGATTTACGTTCTGACATTTCTGAAGTAGTTTCTAAAGTAGTGTCACCGTCCTTACCAATCCCTGGTTCCCACCAAAGCACAAGGAGGATGACTAGTAAACAGGAACGTGTTGACATGCGGTTTAATCCGAACAAACAAAGTCAGCGCTGGGAGTGATCTGCTTCCAGCGCTTTCATAGCTTCCCCGCCCTGCAGCTCCACGCCACCATTCAGTAAACCAGCATCTGGCACCTGTCCTGAAAACCAGCAAACCAGGGCCCTGCCTCTCTCTTGGCCTGCCATCCAGTCCCTGCTGGTTGGTGTGCAGCGTGTCGCGCAGCGGAGCGGCAGAATCCAGGTAGGAACCGCATCCTCCTCTCGACCTCGCAACAAGTCCCATTGGCCTGGCGCCGTCCCACAGTCCACGGGTGGTTTCGAGGCCTTGCCGGTGCTGAGGTTGCTCCACTGGTCAGCGGCACCAGTTTCGGGCCGCGGGGTCGTTCCTGTCCTGCGTCGGCGTCACTAGGCCTCTCCGCTCATTGCCTGCGCTGCTGGAAGCAAGCCGCACTGGAACTGAGCCATGGGGCGTTGCTAGTCCCCCCCTGCTCACCGTCGGCATCACTGGAAGTGAGCCGCAGGGTCGGTAAGCTGGTCGGTGGATCTCCTCGCTGGCGATGCTGGAACCGAACCGCACGGCCTCTCTGGCGGATGTTGCCAGCTTTGGGCTGCTGGCTTTGGGCTGTGAGGCGGTCTTCTGGTACCTTCTCCCTCCCCCCTCCCGTGTATGTCGAGCCCACGGGGCTTGACAAGTAGATTCTAGCTTGTTTACTCTGACTCAGTTACAGCAACTTCTCCCCTTCTTGCCATCTTAAGTCATGGAGCTTCAGAAATGATGTTTCAACAAAAAAGGGAAAGCAAGCTGTAGCTTGCAGAAGGTAAATGTACAAAAGTTCATATTCTAAGGAGAGGAGACAAACTTTATTGTCCATTTTATGTAAATGGCTTATTTTTCCATGGTGAACTTGCTACCTGGTTAGTCTCACCCCCAGCTATAGACTCACTTGATCACTCCTTCAAGAAGTTCTCCAAGATCATTGAGTCATCCGGAGGAATAAGAGGGTTGATTTACAGAGCCCCTTCTAAGTTTCTTCAAACTTAGAAACCAGCTCTAAGTATAAAACTGTGGAGAATCACTGTCAATCCAAAAATGGAGAGATATCATCAAGTTGCTATTTTCCATTAGAAGACATATGGGCTGTATTCTTGTAGGATCTGAAGGGAATATGATTGTGTATGACAACTAAACCACTCCCTGGATATATTTCTAAAATATTAACTGTTAAGAGAAGGTTATGCACCTTAAACTGAAAAGAAAAAGCAATCACTTACTGTAGTGTCTCAAGTCCATATTTTGAATGTTTGAGCAAATCATACATCAGTTCTGCTCCTTCGTCATCTATTTCTCTGAGAGAAAACTCTATCTCTCTCAATCTTATATTTTTCCTTAGTACTTCTGCAAGATGGGTGCTGTTTAATTTGGTCAGAAAATCTCCAGCAAGCCTGTAAAGAAGTAAAAGAAAAACAATTATATCTTAAAAAGCAAGCATGGAGTGTACTATTGTAGGAATTGTATATTTATATACTGTATGGCAGATGAACTGGTATTCCTGGATGTATTTCCAGAAAACAAACAATCAAGAGAACGTTAACACACAGCAAACTGAAAAAGAAACGCTGAACACTCACCCTAGTTTTTCTACTTTACAATCTTTATCTTGGAGCCCCTTACACAATATTTTCACTACTTTGTCATCTGGATAGAAGAGGTGGAAATTTAACTCTCTCAAACTCTTGTTTTTACTGAATACCTCTGCAATCTTCCTGCTGCAGAATTCCGTCATGTTTTCTCCTCTAAACCTGCAGTTATGGGTCCAAAACATTACAATTATTTTTGGAAAACAAGCATATACTAGTCTACAAGGAACTGAAGAGAATATGATTATTGCTGATGTTGGAATTCTTTCTCTGAGGATACATTTCCAGAAGATAAGCATGTGTTTTTTTTCTTTCTGGAACAAGGACACACAATGGCAATATCAATATTAGTATCAATTTTTGGAGTTTTAGAGAATTTACTGATTAATCATTTACTTATTTCTTAACATGATATCATAAATCTAGTTCCCCTACATTGAATGAATGAATGAATGAATGATTGATTGATTTACATACATACATACATACATACATACTTACATACATACATCACTGGCTACAGCAAACCTCCCTCCCTGCTGAAGGGAATTGGGAACTGACAGATGAACTGAATGTATTCTGCTATGAGTTTGAGAGGAGACCACTGTCAACTATCGCTACTCTCTCCATCTCTGATATACCAATAACAGCCAAGTTTCCTACACCTGACTCCATCCCTCTGGGCCCACCACCTCTGGTCATCCTAGAAAAAGAGTTGTGATTTCTGTTAAACAGACAAAAGACTGGAAAATCACCAGGCCCAAATAGGGTAATTCCCTCTTGCTTGAAAGTCTGTGATGATCAACTAGCCCCTATCTTCACTCGCACCTTTAATAAATCACTGGAGATGTGTTATGTCCTTTCTTGCTCCAAACGCTCTACTATCATCTTGATGCCCAAGAAACCCTCCAAAAAGGAGCTGAATGAGACAAATTCCTTATGTGTCTAATCACACTTGGCCAATAAAGAATATTCCTATTCCTCTTATCTATAATCACATTTTTATCTTCTGATCAGCAAAAATTCATTAAGAGTTACCAGAAATGATAACATAAATATTTTAAACTTCATCAGATAAGACAAATTTATACTCCTTCCCTTTGCTTTTAACAATCTTGATCTTTAATCCTTTTAAATAGTCTCCCACAACTTGTTTTATTTGCTTTTTGCCTCTCCCCTTCAAGACTCTTCTGTAAATCCAAAATAAAAAGCATTCAAACTACTCTTCTGTTTTATTGTGTATTAATTAATAAAGCATCAGCTGGTTTCATTTGCATAGCCAGTGTAACATCATTTTCCATGTCATTCCTGTGACCTCTTGTTTTTAGAACCACATTTGAATCAGCCTCAGTCTTACCCAATAAAGTTACTTCCTTTTATATAACCTCTTTTAAATCCAGATTTATGATAGCAAACAATCTTAATAGCAATTTCTGAATACATTGTTCCCAAATATCCTTGAATTTTTCCAAAGTTTGGCTATTTTTCTCCATTCTCTATTAATGGATCTCGTCTCATTTAATTATGATTTTTAGGTTTTTTGGGTTCCCTCTAGTTATCCAACCTTCATACTCCCATTTAATCATGTTTTCCCCCCAATAAACAGCATTTTTCCTTGGGAAGATTTCTCATATTTAATTTCAAAATCTGTAGATGTCCAGATTAAGCCTGAGGGTGGGGTTAAACACACCATCTGTCTGGAGTAAAATTTGCATTTACCATTAGTAGACCAATTTCGTGTGTATAAGTGGCATGGAATAAAATTGAAGTGTTTTTGAACTCCATCCTGGTTCCTGTCTTCTTGCACCTGACATTAATCCGATCTATCTCAAAAATGTTCACCGACTATATGAAACCACAGCATGGCATCAGATCTGCAAACTGGAGCTACAGCTGATGCTTCAGAAACAGACAGCACCTGCAGATGCCAAGAACGTTTGGAAACTGAAATATGGAATCTACCAGGTAATATGCAGATTGCTTTTCTTCTGCCCTTGCCAAGTTCAATTCCCATGAGAACTTAAGATTTCGAAGAAATGATGTAGGAGGAGGAACCCATGGAGAAGAAGGGAGGGGAGGGTGATGTAGGAGATGGCTGGGCTGAGCCCCAGGGCATCGAAAGCATCATCAGTTTGGAGTCTCTATGCCCCCAAATAGACCTACATCCAGTCCCTTTGAAGTCCATTGACTCTTATCTAATGCCAATTTGCATTGACCATTAGTAAATCGGATTCTTGAGTACAGGTAGCATGGAATAAAATCGCAGTGTTTTGAACTCCATCCTGACTCCTGTTTTTTGCACCTGACAAAATCTATATATATTTTGGTTAGGATTGAAAGAATCACCCAGTGTAATGAAGCTTGCTGTTCTAAAGGCTCCTATATACAGAAAACACTTAACAAGCAAGTTCTTAAAAATGATTAAGAAAGTTTGTTAACCCTTTGTCCATACATGTGCTTACCATGACTTGGACAAAAATGGCAAACTCTAAGAACCCAGGATTCTAAATTTGTCAGAGACAAATTTGTCAGAGACCTCTCTTATAGTCTCCTCATTGGAAGCTGTTTTTTGGAGTGCTTGGGTTAGGGTTGTTCAAAGAGGAATTCCAAGTTCCAACTTTGCCATTACTTTTCTAGAAGTTTGATAAGTTCAAATTATTCAATGCTAATAATGAGAGATGGGAGGGGGGGAGACTCTCTTGAAAGTAATGGGCATTACAAATTTTAATGTAGATTAGCAATTACTTTATAAGTCAATATTCATATTCCCAAATAAACAGAAGAAATTTTCAGGGATCCTTACTGTATTAAATGAAGCTAGCAAACAATTGAAGAGAAAGTCCAGGAAATAACAAAATAACATAATAACAAAAAGACTGCTGTAGATTTCAGATTAAAATTTGTTATAGAATGTAAAAATTTTAAAGTATTTGAGAATTCCCAAAGAATTACAAAACATAGATCTACGAATTTGCCAAGTACAGCTGTGGATATTTTTTAATCAGTGTAATTGCTATCCTATCTGCAAACTGCTTAATGAACATTTATAAACTTCTAAGCCCATCCCCAGGAACTGATCTCCTCCCCAAATTAGTCCCTGCCAAATTCTTAACAGTTAAAAGCTAAGAAAGTATGTTTGCATACAGGAGGGACAAAGATCTCGTATGTCCCAGCAAACTATCTTCTTGGACTTTTGATTACGATCATGGATAGAACTGCATCTTAGAAAACATAGTACTCTAGAAGGAACCGGAAAGAATATGGTTAAACGTCACAACTGTATTTGTGTTTCCATGGATACTATTCCAGAACTCAAGAGAAAGCATCACATATCTAACTGAAAAAATACTGAACACTCACACTAGTGTTTCTATTTTACACTCTTCATCTTGGAGCCCCTTGCACAGCAATTCTGCTGTTGTGTCATCTGTGTCATCAAGGGACAACGCTAATATTTTCAGTCTCTGGTTGTTCTTGAAGACTTCAGCAAGATCCCTGCTGCAGGACTCTGTGAAGGACCATCCTACCAAACTGAAAGGACAGCAAATACTCAGAAGAATTAGAATATTACCTTCTGATTAGTAGCATTAGTATAGTGGAATTCAAATTATACCTTCTAGTTAGTAATATCACATATAAAAATAGATGGTACATATAATATTAAAACAATTAAAAGCAATAGTAATGGGCAGTTATAGTATCATATGGTTAGATATAAATAATACATTTAAAGTATATTATTTTCTGTTAAGCTTCTTTTATAACCAACTGGACTGGCAATGATTATTTGGAAGGAATAGAATTGATAGCTGATTAATAAGATTAATTACTAAGATTTATTAAAAGTGAAAAAATAACGTAAGAACCCAATAAGCAACATTTACTTTCAGATGAAGATCTATGTATATGTTACTCTGGGAAATATAATTTGCTTGCTTTTTCATCAGTTTGTGATGAACTGGAGAAGTACGGTATCTTTCCTCTTTGGAAGAGAGCTAGAAAGAATATGGTGCCCAGCCTCATTCCCTCAGTGTTTTCTCCACCACCGCCATCAAATTCATCTTGACCAACTATCCCCACAACCACTCTAATTCACTCTCTCCAAGAGCAGATTGCTACTTGCCAAGCACTTCAATTGAGCCACTTACCAATTCAATCGATACAATATGCCACAGTAACCTCTTAACCTTACATTCTTCCATAACCATCATGGACACACCCATCCTCAGACCATCTAATACAAAGCCACAAAAACAGGTGGGGGAGCCCTGACTAGAGATGGGAAGGCCTGAAAAAACCCTGGAAAAAATAAAAAAAAACCCCAGTTTTTTCCCGTTTTTTTCCTCAAAGCAGTTTTTTTCTGGAAAAATTGAAAAAAAAAAGGAGTGTGGAATATGTTCTTTTCCAATGATAAATAATGTATCTGTTGCATGGTATTTAAACTATATAACATGAAGACCTTAATGAAAGATTTCTGAGACTTTTTATAAAGTCTTAAATTATTGCAAGCTTTCTCAGCTGAAGACAAGCAATCCTGGAATACAATTCAAGTACTGTACAGTGTACTTCTCTCTCTTTTCTTCATTACAAAGTTTTATTGAATATACAGTTAAAAACAAAAAAGACACATTGGACATAATACAATTGAAGACAAAAAAGACACATTGGACATGATACAACTTCCCTGGTTTGAATGATACTATTAATATTGCCTTACATTATATTATTACACTGTAACATTCTTTCAATAATGTGCATTATAATTAAATAACTTTTAATTCTATCTGATATAAAAAGTACTAGTATAAAAATTTCTAAATTATCAACTTATTCATTAACATTCATCCCAGCGTGCCTCTTTAAATCTAACCATTTATACACTTCAGTTCAAATTTCAAAATAGTCTGATTCAATTTTATTTTTGAGCTCTAATGTTAACCTATCCATTTCAGTGCAGGATAGGATTTTGTTTAGTACTTCTTCTTCGGAGGTTTTTTTTTTTTCCTTTCCATTTTTGAGCATAGGATAGTCTTGCTGCAGTTAGAATGTGCAGTACTAAATATAAAGATCCTTTGCTGAATATATCCTTAGTGATCCCCAATAAAAATGTTTTGTGGTTTTAATTCAATTTTTAATGATAATTTAAAAATTTAACTACAAGAAAATCCCCAATTGGATTTCGACATTGGAGATATTTCTGCACCCAAAATTTATGAACCTGGGAAAGGTAATCACATATAAAAACATCCTACATGAGAACGGAGAATTGAAAACAATTGGCATAGATCTGGAATGGTGGGCATATTTGCAAATACAATCACGATACAGAAAAGATAAAAAAGAACCTGGGATAAAATTAGAATACACAGAATTAGATAAAATTCTACTAGGAACTGAAGATAAAGCGATAAAAAAGATATACCAATATCTACTAGAACAAGACATGCTAAAGAACAGGTAAAAGATACAATGCTAATTTGGAGCAAAAACTTTGGCTACAGTATCGAGTTAGATAATTGGCAACTACTATGGGACAGGAATAGGAGGTTAACATTAGCGACCACCTATAAAGAAAATTTATATAAGATGTTTTATAGGTGGCATCTTCATCCTACAACAGGGGTGTCAAACTCAATTTCATTGAGGGCCGCATCAGCATTGCGGTTGTCCTCGGGGGGCCGGGTAGGTGTGGTCAGGGTGGGTGAGGCCTACAGGGTGGGTATGGCTAGAGTGGGTGTGGCCTACTGGGTGGGCATGCCAGCTCTACATCGTTCGCGCCAAGGGGCCTGGGCAGGAGTGGGACAGATCTGAGGGTCTCTGGCAGAAGGGGGTGGGACCAGGGCAAGCGCCAAGGTATGGTCCATTGGAAGAGCCTGCCGAAACCCCTCCCCTGGAGCCCATCAAGCCGGATATGTAAAGTAGGCAAGGGCCATTTGCTGGTGCAATGGTGCATTTCTTCATTCCTCACAAAGGGTGACACCTCCCCAGCATGCACCCAGGAGGCGGGGTAGACGCGGCAGAGGCTGGTTCCTCGCTGTTTTCAGACGGCCTTGTGGAACTAAGACTGAATGCATTTCAGCATAGATGACCATCACAAAATTGTACATTGGCTCCTGGCCGGACTGGGCCGGGGCCAAGGAAGCAGGGGCCATTCCCTCACTGTTTCAAGGATGGCTTCGCGGGCCACATGAAACCACATCGCGGGCCGCATCCGGCCCCCAGGCCTTGTGTTCGACATGTCTGTCCTACAAGATGTACACTGTACTTCTCAATGCAGTTCTCAAATTAGGGAAATATGCATTTGTGCCATTAGGGGCACTGCAGGGAAAAAGTCTCCAGTTTAGTTTGCTTGTGTACCTCTGACCTCCTACAGTTGAGTAATTATTGGTATATAGTAGGTGATAATTTCTGTCCTCCTCTCAGGCCTTAGCTGACAGATAAGAGGGTGAATTTGTCTGACAAATTAGTTTCTCTTTTGTAACCCTTTAATGATTCCTGTTAATGTTCTCCACCATCACAGCATGTTTACCTATAGTCTGGTCAGTAAATTGGTTTTTCTTTTCCTCCTCTCAGTAAAATGGTGAGACCAACATCTAGAGTTTGGAAACATTTCCACAGTGCAATTTCTACTGAGAGCAAAGCTGCAATTTGCAAATATTGTGAGAAGAAATATTCTTTTCCAAATCCTGCAAGGATGACCAAACTTGCATGTCAGAGGTGCCCTAAAGACATTAAAAATTATGGAATGAAATGATGAGGACCAGAATGAAAGTGCAAGTAGCTTTTCCTTCCAGAGTTCTAATTCCAGAAATACTCTGCTGCTTCTGGATCATCACAAAGTGTTTCTTCACCAGCAGCATCTTCACGTAAGGAAGTGTTGCAAACCACTACCTCACAAAAATACACAATACATTCGTTTATAGATAAAATGACACCTGAAAATGAGGAGAAATGGATCACGCTCTTGCAAGAGCAATATATGCTTCTGGATCAGCATTGTCAATAACAAAAATGCATATTAGCAGGAAGCTTTCAAATTATTACGAGCATTATACCATTTGCCAAGCAGACATTCCTTGAGCAAGCCTCTTTTGGAGTCAGAATATGAGCGTGTGATGGACTCAGTACAAGGAAAAATCAGTGAAGCACTATGTCTTGCAGTACTTACAGATGGATAGACAAATGTTCAGGGAGAAGGAATCATCAACTTTGTGATAACACCTCAACCAGTCTTTTATAGAAGCACTGAAACTGGGGAGAACAGAAATACTGCAGAGTATATCAGCACTGAAATATGTGCAGTTTTAGAGAAAATTGAGAGTGGTAAAGTATTTGCTTTGCTGACTGACAATGCAAGTAATATGAAAGCTGCATGGAAAATCATAATGGACAAGTATCCACGTATTACTGCAATAGGTTGTGCATCTGATGGACTAAAGACATTGGACACCCTTTGAAGGAGTTATAGAAGAGCTAAAGAAGTTATCAAATATGTAATAGCTACTCATGTTGTCATCGCAGTCTTCAAGAAGCATGAAAAAAAATGCACAGAATAGTGACACTGAAGTTCTGAAGTAAAACACCTTGGGGTGGGGTGGTGATCTCCTTTGAAAGTTTACTAAAAAACAAAGAAGCTCTTCAAGAAACAGTAATAACTGAGGGTCTTAAAATTCCCAGAAATATAAGGAACACTGTGCTTGATGAAGACCTGTTTTGGGTTCAGCTGCAGAACTCCCTACACATTTTAACATCAATTTTTTTCAGCAATCCCGCGCATCTGAATCACTTTTGTCAGAAATTCCTAACCACATGGCTTGAAAACCTAAGTGCATCTCCAGTTACAACTGCTGCAAAAAGTAAAGTGAAAGATTTTATTAAGAAAGAGGAAGAATTTTGTTGCCATCCAATACATGTGCTGAAAACCTACTGAATCCAAGATTCAAAAGCAGTGGTATGACTGATGAGGATACAGCTGCTGCATTTCACTGAATTATGAAACAAGCTCAGCACTTAGGACTTGATGTTGAAAAAGTACTTTCTATATGTTGCAGAATATAGAAAATCTTCAGGAATTTGGACCAGGAATGCATTCTGGGATTCCACAAAAGATATCCCTCCTGCAACATGGTGTTAAGATCTCTGCACCACACAACCTCTGACATCTCTTGCCTCTCGCTTACTGCAGATTCCTGCATTTTCTGCTACAGGTGAAAAAATCACATCTATGTTTGGCAATATTCATACCAAATCAAGAAACAAACTGATCTGTGAAAGGATAGAAAAGCTTGTTTCAATCCGTGCAAACTTAAAGTTTTTAGAAGTCCATGAAAAAATGACAAAGAGAAAGAGGAAGAAAAAGGAAAATGATAGCAGTACTTCAGAAAATAAGACAGTATAAACTGCATATGTTGTGTCTTCTGTTTTTTTTTTCTTTTTAAAAAGAACCACTCAAAAGGCAAATCTTCTATGCAGTTTAATTATTGAAGTGATCTTAACTTTATTTGCTATTGGTAGTAGGGGGCAAATCTGATTATTTTTTATGTTGATGGTTTCTTGCTTTTTTGTTGCTTTTGAGGAAAAAGGGGGTGATTACCTGTTTTATTGATAGCATAATACTTTTTCAGAGACTGCATTTCTTGCAATTTGTAAAACTATTCCACACTGAATTGTTTTTTCAATTTTTCCAAAATTTCTATTTTTTTCCAGAAAAAACAGGGAAAAAAGCATTTTTTTCTCATGGCTTCAAAATTTCCAGAAATCTAGTCCTGACCATCTCTTTTCTCACTCCAGAGGCAGCTCTCCAATACTTTGCTCTGCCTTTCATCAAGGAATTCCAATGATAACAATTTATCCTTCCTTATATTTTTTTAAACTCTGTTTCCTTGTCTCTCAATGCTTCAGCTAACATCCAGTTCCAATACTGCAGGAACCCCAGTAAAGCCAGTATTATGTAAAGGTTTCTGTATCAAAACATCTAGGATAAAATGCATGCAGTTTCTTACCTCAGGACTCTTAATTCTGTCAGCTTTTTCAGTGCTTTAAAGAAGTCTTCCACATATTTTTCATCCAAACTCCATTCCCTAAAGGGGAAAGATGTTTGTGCTCTTCAGACTTTACTTCAGTGTTTCTAGTTCCTCTAATTTGCAAATATAATAGGCTTCCAGTTCATTTGAAAAGTAATCACAAATAAATGCACTCATATTGCAGTATGGGAAATTACTAGTAGAAAAAAACCATTTTGTAAATAAAATGGTTACAGGTGGTCCTCAACTAACAACCGTGATGGAGCTTGCCCATTATGGTCAGAAGTCACAGTGGCCACTAAGTAAAGCACCCATATCATTGCTTCCCTTATAAACCCCCCTCCCCCAACATGCTCTCCCCAATGTGTTTAATAAATGAAGCACAGGGTTCATTAGGGGCTTGGTGGGAGTCCTAATGCAGGCTTTTCCCTGGGTCTCCTAAGGCTCCTACTCCCCTGAGGAATGACATTCTCTGCTTCCCACCCCTTAGGCTTTCCACAGGCTTTGGGCATGCTTCCCAACTTCCCAGGTCTCACACACTCCTCCCCACCCGCCATCACCAATCACTTATCTTTGTAGATGTCCTTATGAAAGCTCTGGAGATCACATTGGGGAGATCTCCGTAGCTATCCATAGTGCTGCGAAGATCACATTGGGGAAGAAGAAGCTGCTCTCTCCCTAGGTTATGTGGTCCTCTTCCAGAAGCAAGTGCCATTTTCAGACCATCTGCAATGAATTGTGACCACTGCAAAATGGCACTCACTTCTGGGAGCGAGCCATGCAGTTTATGGATGAAGAAGCTCGATTTTCTTCTCCAATGTGATCTACAGAGTGCTGTGAAGAATTGCAGAACTCTCTAGATTGGATTGGAGAAGAAGAGCAAGTTGTTTAATTGCTAACACTTCCAGAAGTGAGCACCATTTTGGATTGGCTGTCCTGAAAATAGCAGCTGCATCATGCCACGTGTCTCAAAACAATGCAACCTTCCCTGCTTCTATAACACAATCTGTGAAGCTCCAGAGCTCTTCTAAAGCTGAGTGTGTGATGGGTGACACATGGTGAGGAGTAGGCTGTAGGACCCAGTGGGTTGGGAATATAGTCTATATTCTATCATCTCTCTTTGTTTTAAGAGAGGAGCTTAAGAAGTTTCCAATTATTATCGAAGCACCTTCTTACATTATCTGCCATTTAAGCTGAAAAGTTTTATATGCAATGAAACTTTCAAATACAGAACCATGATCATTTGAGGGCATCGAATGTAACTCTTTTTGGTTAAAGGGAGAAACACCCTTAACTTAGCTATGGCCAAGTGAGCTTCTAATCAGTCTTTAAAGAATGTCAATGTTGGGCTATGTATTTTAAAAAAAGCAAGTTTTTTTTTTAGCTACAGTGTTTGTTTATTTACTGTAAAATGGTTATAGCCTCTAGATCTCAATAGCAATTACTTCTCTGATCTTGAGCTGAGTTGATCACTTCCTGGTGATCAACTCACCACTTCCTGGTGATCAATCATCAGGCTCTTTAAGTGCAAGGGGAATAGATTGGGGCTGGTCTCAACAATAGACAACTTTTCATTTTTAAACATCCTCCCAACTTACCCAGCCCAAGCCATGACTGAGAGCCCTTTTTAACTTAACTGCCCAAAGACATTTATGCAAACTCCTAAGTGGCATTTTTTTGGTCTATTATATGTGAGACAATAGGTTAGAGAAAATGCTGGCAAGATCATAAACTGGGTGAAATGTTCAACATACTTTCAAAAATACTTACTTATTTTCTAGAAAAAATTCGGTCTCTGTAATATACAGCAATTCAGGGACTTCAACATTGAGATAGGTCAAATTGTGACAGTGTTGTACACAATAGGCTAGGATCATCAAATCCATATCTGAGTTGCACTCATAATCTATTTCAGTGATTTCATGTACTGCATCTTTTACAAAATTGTCATCTTGTATCTCATATAAATAACTAAACATTTCTTTTTGCAATTGGAAATTATGTCTACTTTTTTTAAAATCATTTTTCACATAGTCTAATAAGAATTCTTTATTCTTAGGAGAAATTTTCCATCCAAATTCTTGTTTTAACACTGTCATTCTTTTTTCTTCATTTAAAAAACCAAAGAGGAAGTGAAATCCTATTGCAAAATTAGGCCTAAAAGATTTATGTCTTTCTAACAGTGTCTGCAAACTTTTATCCTGATTTGGAGAATGCTGCTCCTCTCCTTCTTCTAGGAGATAAAACAAAGCAGCAAAAAACTCCTGAAAACTTAAATGAATGAAGCTGTAGGTTTGACTACGACCAATGCCACTTTTGAAGATGCTTTGATTCAGAAAGAGGGGAAGGGGGTCTCCCTGATCCAAACTGTGTGTCTTCAATTTTTCTTCCAAAAACAATGTTTCTTGATTCCAGACTCCTTGTGCAGCCAAGGAGCATAAGCCTTTCACATATGATTGGACAGCCTGTTTGGATTCTTTGTGGTGAAACTTTAACAAACTGGAGAAATACAGCATATAGATTTCAGTAAGGGTGCACGGTGTCTTCAGAAGATCCTTGCCTCTCTCCATTTCTTGTTTCATCACAGTGCAAATGATCCAGCTCACAAGGGGAATGACACACATGGTGAAAAGTATACTATTTTGTTTAACAAAGCTAAAAGCTTCAATTGCTGCTGCTTTGTTTTCAAAAAATTTGTAGAAAAATTCTTTTCTCTCCTGTGTGGAAAAACCCAATATCTCAAAATAACGTGAGTCCCCTAAACATTGATCGAGTTTCTCCAAAGCAGTTGGTCTTGTTGTGATTATAAGATAAGATTCAGGAAGAAGCTTTTTTTGAAATAAACTACTCAAAATAATTCTCACTGGCTCCTTCTTCCGGGTTTTAGTACAAAAGTAGTTTTCAGACAGATCAAAAGAATACTTTAATTCATCAAACCCATCAATAATGAATAGAATCTCCTTTTCATTCTGTAGTATATTTTTCACTGCATGACACTTGGGCCATTGTTTAGAAATTATATCTTCAATGCTACTCTCCTCTGTCTCTGCAAGGAGATTCATCTCTCTACAGCTAATATAGAAAACATAATGAAATTTGTCCTGGTAAAGTTTTTGAGAAGCCCAATCAAGCATGATTTTTTTGGCCATCATAGTTTTTCCAATTCCTGCAGCTCCTTGCAACACAACAACGTGTGGAATGAATCCATTTTTATCAGGATTAAATAATTTTTCAAGGCTGGTTGATGACTTCGCTCTCTTACTAATGATTTCAACATGTTTCCTTCCTATTGCCCGAATTTCATGTTCTCTCTCCTCTTTAGAGCGGTGATCATCTAGGATGATTAGCTTTGAGTATCTCTGATTCAGGAGCACATATTCACCAGGAACAGCATTGGGATCTTTCATTTTTTCAAATCTTTTTTTAATGTAGTTTCTGTAATCTAAAGGAAGAATGAAGCAAATTAGAAGTGTGAAAAGTAAGGTCTGCACAAGACACTCAGTTAAGCATTTTGTCTCTGTATCTTCTCCTTGAAGCCCCCATTCACCCTCTGGATTAATGTGTTGAGGGAAGTTGCAGGATACTTTGTTAATTGGTATGTCAGTATTGGTGTCAATAGGGGGAGTTCTCCAGAAAATGGGATTCTGAGTGGCAGAGTCCTTGTTTTCCCCTCTGCCAGTAGACAGCTGGTTTCTGCTACCAAGCTGGGTTTTTTGGCAGCCAAAGCTCTTGGGTTGGAAAAGAGCAGCTCAGAATTCCACCATAGGGCTTTCAGATGGCTTGCTGACTGGTTGGTTTGACCTAGGGTGAGTGTAGGAGGGAAAGCAGGGACGGGAGATCTTGTCCGACCACTGTCCATGTACTAAAGATACTGCTCTACTTTTACGTTTTCACTTTTATAATGTTTTCTCTTGCTGTTTTTTGTTATTTTTGATACGTCGGTAAGTTTTTTGTTATTTTTGATAAGTCAGTAAGTTTTTTGTTATTTTTGATAAGTGGGTAAGTTTCTTGCCAAGGTTGATATCTCTTGATGGATTGCTATTAATGATTTTAATTATTGTATTCAAAGTCATGAGGAGATGTCTATCTGCTTTATCGGAAGGAATATTGGTGGCAATCTTGGTCTTCTCTTTTGCGCACAAGTGACTTTAATTGTTTTGACTATTTACAGAAAGGCTTCTACATACCAACTTTAAATTTTCTCAAGTTTTTATGTTGTTTCTGCCTCTTGTTCTTTGAATCAAGAAGAGGGAAATCCTCCACTTTTTTCCTACCTACTATGGGAACTATTATCTCAGTTTGCTCTCTGTTATGAACATAACAAGAAGAGGCCCCACTGCTTCTAACCTTCTAACCTTCAATTTACTGAAAAGATCAGGTAAGCTGTGTATTTAATTGGCTACTACTAATAATGCTTTTAAAGAAAGAAAGCAAATTAGAGGAGTTCAAAGCAAATTAGGGTTCAATCTCTTATAGAGTATTTTGAGCAAAAAATTGTCTTAATTTTAAAAATTAAAAAAATGAGCTCTTTGGAAATAGTGGCAAAAAGCTTAAATAGAAAAATAGGCTAGAAGAATGTGCAACTGGTTAAATCAACTGAAAAAGATATCATGAATATACATATAAGAGAAGAAAAGTTAGATATAACGATGGAATTAATAACCAATCAATTATTAATGGATCAGATGGAAAAAAGGCTTACAGTACTTAAGAATTAGAGGCCTACAAGAAAATGTGGGGAAAGGTATTAATGTAAAAGATTTAATTATTAAGAAATTACAAAATGGATGAAAACAAGCTGTTTTGAAAGAGTGAATAATAAGAAATCCCTTTGAACAGAATACTTTGGATTACAAATTTTGGTATACATTTTTTTTCTTTTTCCCTTTTGCTCTTTTTTACCATTTACTATTTTTATTATTTACCTCTCCTATTTGTTAGGAGCCTATTGGATTATAAATTTTGGCTTACTTGGTGGATTACAAAGTATGATTTAAAGACAATGATGAACGCCCCCAACCTATCTAAAGTTGGAAAAAAAGGATCTTCTGCTCCCTCTTTGGTTTCTGCAAGCCCAGTCTACCAGAGATCAATTGATACAATGCTTCAACAAGAAAAAGGCTAATAACTTCCAAAAGAAAACTCAAGCAACCCTACAAACAATTCAAGAGGCAATCACATAGCGGTCACAACGAGAAACCATGAGGAGTTGAAAAGTGATTTTGATAAAATGAATAAAAAAACTAACATGGACTCTCAATTTGAAAATTTTAAGCAGATGATCACAGATAATCAACAAAGAATCCAAAAATTAGAAGATAAATCAACTGAGGTTGACCAGAAACTATAAGTTTTAAAAGGTGAAAATCAGAAATTGATCCAAATAAATGAAGAACTAGAAGACTCAATAGCTGGGCTGGAGATGGAAAGAGCCTCATACTTTTTAAGATTTCAAATATAATGGAACATAAGGAAGAGTTCTCCTAGACTTGATAATGGAATTATTGGCAGATGCATTAGGAACTGGGAAACAGCAAGTGAAAGAGAATTAGACCAGATCTATCGAGTCAACTCAAACTATGCTAGAAGAAATTAAGTCCCCAGGGAAGTACATGTTAGATTTCTTAAAAGATCTACAAGAGACGAGATTTTGAGAAGAGTAAGAGATGAATCCTTGAAATACAAAGAAAAAGAAATTGTAGTCCTCAAACAAATTCCTAGGAGAATAAGAGAATCCCAAAGAGAATACCAGTTTCTAACTAGGAAATTTAATTTAAAAAAGGAGTGAATTTCAGATGGCTGATTCCAGAAGGGATTTTAATCTACTGGGATACAAAAAGATATAGACTGGATACGCCACTTAAAGCAATGGAATTCTTCGACAACCATAGAGCATTTTGGGAAGGAGGTGACTCTGAATCTGGTACAAAGAGAGAAACAAAGAAACAGGAAGAAATGACAATAGAAGGAGCAGTCAAACCAAGAGAGAAGGAAGAAATTAAAAACACATATACAGAAGAAGGAGCCAGACCAAGAGATCAGAGACAGATAAGATCGACTAGAAGATTAAGACCTAGATATAATTGAAAGAGATGGAGGAGAGTGGGATTTTGTCAATGAATATAAATGGACTAAATTCTCCTTCAAAAAGGAGAATAAACTTTACACGATTACAAAAATTAAAAATGGATATAATTTGTCTTCAAGAAACACATATTAAGAGACAATATTATAAGTTGTTAGAACAACCAAAAATTGGTAAATTTCACTTTGCATTAGCACTTCAAAAGAAAAGAGGTCTATACATTATACATTAAAGAAACAATGTACCCTAAACTAATGTATGCAGATGAAGAGGGGAGAATATTAATGGTGGAAATAATGATGGATCAAAAACAGATACTGATAGTAGCAATATATGCACCAAATGATAAACAAGAACAATTTTACCAAAAATTACATAAAAAATATTAGATTTAACCTATCAAAATCTTTGTATAATAGGAGACTTTAATGCAATAACAGATGGAACTTTGGACTATAAAAGCACTAAACAAGGGAGAAAAGGAGGAAATATATTACCTAAAGCATTTTTAAAAATGACAGGAGAGAAAAAAATCCAAAGAAATTACAATATATATTTTACTCAAATAGACATAAATCATGGTCTAGAATTGATATGATATGGACATCTTTGGAACTTAATACTATGATACAAGAAATTGAGATAGAAACTAATGTTTGGGCAGATCATAATCCAATAAAGATGACTTGGAGAGGAACTAAGAAAAAATTAAGATGGTCCTTGAATAAATCTATATTGAAAGAAAAAAAATTTCTACAACTAGATAAAAGAAAATGGATTTTTTCTTCAAAATAAACAATAAAGAAGAAACATTACTTCAAAATGTGTGGGATATAGCTAAAGCATATTTCAGAGGGTTAGTTTTAATTTATATCACTAAAAAGAATAAAGAAAAGAAACAACAGTTAAAGTTGAAGGAAGAATTCAGAAAGTTAGAATCAGAATTATAAATAGATCCACAAAAGAAAATACTTAAGAAACAAATGGAGATAATAAAACATAAATTAAATCTAGCTGAGATGGAAATATTGGCTCAACAGATTAAAAGGGCTAAAATGTTTTGAAAATGCCAACAAGCCAGGGAGATAGTTAGCATATAGACTGAAAAAAGAAAAAGAGAAAAAATTGATAAACAAGCTGCAAGATCCAAAAGATGAATTACAGTTTCAAAATGATACAATTAAAAAAAATATTAAAGATACTTTAATTATGAGATATTTTACAAGGCAGAGGAAATTCCAAAAGAAAAAATACAGCAGTATTTTAAAAAAGCAGACTTATCAAAAATTTCAGAGAATATTTGAAATGTATTAAATGGAAAAATAACTATGATGGAGATTATAGAGGCTATAAAAAGGCAAAAAAATGATAATACTCCTGGTCCAGATGGATTACCTGCAGAGTTTTATAAATCATTACAAGATGTATTAAGCCCGATCTTGAAAGAACTGTGTAATGAAATACTCCTGGAGGCTAAAATTACCAGATACATGGATGAAGCCAACATTACTTTAATATCTAAAATAGATTGACTTTAAAGAGAAAAGAAAAAGAAGACTTTTCTATCAATGGGTAGAAAAACGAGTTTGAGAGAAAGGAATGTGATATGTAACTTTGAATATATATTAGCAAGAAGACTATCGAGTGATTAATTAACATATTGTTTATGATAATTAACTTATCTATTATTGTTTGTTAAATACATGAACCCAGATATTATGCTGTTTGCTAAATATTGAGAATGTTGTTTGGAAAAAACCCAACCCTAACCCCAACCCTAATCCTAACCCTAACACAAATTCCAACCCCCAACCCCGACCCCACCTTATTCCTACTCCTATAAAAACTAATAAAATTTATTTCCCCCCAAAAAGATGGAAATCTTTAAACCCTACCCTTTTGGGATATGGTAAATACTCCCAAAATATAATAATTCCTAGCATATTTGATATTAAGCGTGGATCGTTTTTATTCAGAGAGAAAACTCACACTAACATGCTAATAATGGATTTTCCACAATTTAAATATAATATGTTCTTCTGTAAATTTCTATGGGGTTCTTCAGTTCAAACTATCTAATTCAAAGTATCTTTTTCAAAGCACCTTTGAAAAAGATGAACTTGTTACTGAAAAATGAGGTTTGGATTCCCCAAATTCTGAATTATATCATGATGTATATATATTCTGATGATTCCACATTTGGAGCAACTTCATTTGTATAATTTTTCCTTTTTATGGTATTTTGGAATATTCATAAGTGGCATTCTTGGTAGCACTGTTTTCAAAACATATTAGCCATAACCCCTGTTACTGTTATATCAAACTGAATATTGTGGTATATTATTTCTGAAAAAATGCATTTTGATCCCTTTTGTTAGGCTAAATTGATGCAATGAAATAATCCAGACTTTAAAATTAATTTTTTAAAAACTGTTATCAGAAAGATTTTCTACTTTAGACAAGTTAAGAAATGATAAAGATGGAATTTTACTATTCCTTTCTTCAAGAATAAATAACTTTTTACTTCAGCATTCCACAGGAAATCATTATAGCTGCAGGTAGTCCTCATTTATCAACTGCCATTGGGACCAGCAACTCAGTTGCTAAGTGTTGTAGTCCTAAATAGAAAAATCATGTGACTATTTCTGACTTACTACTGCAGTTCTCACTGTGGTCATTAGCAAATCACCACAGGTGTTTAAGCAAAATGTCATGTGACAATGATTTGCACTTTTCTCCCAGCTTCCCCCTTGACTACAAAGATCACAAATGGCAAACATGTAATCATGGGATGCTGTGACTGTCAGAAATGCACATCAATTGCCACATAAATTTGGATAATTAACTTGGATGAAGCAGCATTTCAGCTAGAGGGAGACATAAATAATTAGAAGTGATCATCAAATGTTATGTAACTTAAAATACCCGTTACTCTTTATTAGTAAAGAGTACTGGCTTTCAATAAATCACTTTGATAGGCACATTTAAAAAGTGAATGGAATAAATCAGTGGAGATCTATCTAATATGACAATAGAAGATTGTTTTAACAACAAATTTATATTAAAAAGTTTAATATAGATTATAAGTTCTTCAACAAAATAATATTATAATAGATCCCTATTATTACTATACTACTGTATACTATACTATACTATATATTACATTACATTATTACACAGAAAAAGAATCAATAAGTATTGCCATTTTGGAGATGTAATGAGAATGAAGTGTCATTTAAACATAAACTTTTGCAATGTCTCAAAATTATTAAATTCTGTGGGAAGGTTATTATATGTATCAGTTGTATTTGGGTTTTAACTTTTTTGATGGCTATATTCTTTTGAACTATTACATGGAAAGTGATGGCTGGGCAACAAAAATGGATTCTCTGTGTCATTCTTGGCATTAGATTTTTTTTGCATAAGATTGCAAAGAAACATTTATGGCCTCAATTAGCCAATGGACAGAAGACTTTTTGTTACAAGTTCTGAACATGTTGTGTGTGAACAGAGACTATAACAATTATAAAATAATACTAGACAACCTGTACCCTGTTGGGTCATGTTTTAGAAATATTTCCTTATCTAAGGAGAGAAATAAAATGACACAGGAGGGCAAAATAGCAGTGAGAGCGGGAGTGAATTCAAACTTCCTGTTGACTTCCCCACTGAGTTTCCTTGTGGGAGGATGGCAGGGAACATTGGAAATCCTTCCTTCCTTCCTTCCTTCCTTCCTTCCTTCCTTCCTTCCTTCCTTCCTTCCCTCCCTCCCTCCCTCCCTTTGTCCCTTGCTTTCTTCATGGTCAGCACTGCAAAACCACCCTGCAGCTTTCCCCATCAGGATTTTTAGGGTAATTAATATTCACAGTAGTTTGAATAGATAGGGAGGCAAAGGAAAAGACCTGATCATGCTGAATTCGGTTTAAATATAATTCGGTGAACCTTTGAATGTTTCTGCCTTACCTGATATAAGTTGGTGAGCATCAACATCTGCAACTAAAGATGGACTAGAATTAGTAAAATAAACATTATAATAATGGTTAAATCATAGAGCATTTTTAAAATACCTGATTGTATGACTTCTATGAATGTGTACATTTATAATGTATATTAGGTTTCTTATCTAATAATTCCTATGCATTTCTACATATTTTCCTCTTTCCCCTTTTTCTTTTACGGGCAGACTTGAATGCCCACAGAGATAAAAATTGACAGACATAGCTAAGGGTGGGTGTCCTTGCCCTCTCTCACAGCTCTGGGTTGCAGAACTGGAAGAAGGCAAACTGCCATTAAACTATTTTTTCCACTACTAAGATACTAAGCCGTTCCAAAAGCATATTAAGATCAAAAGTATCAAGCTATCCAGAGATCAACTATGGCTAGGATAAATAAAATACCCATGTCCTGGGGCCATCCATAAACGCAAACAATACCATCTCAGTGCTATATCTCAACCTGAAGCACAAGTGGAAAGGACCTAGATAACTGTTTCCCCCAGTGATCCTCAAATGATCTGTCACTTCATTCAATCAAGAACCACATTTCATCTGTTCCACTCGGCTACATGTGGTCTCCTGGGAGGCCTTTACTAACCAGGAAGGAGGGCAGGATTCAACCCCCCCCCCCCACAAGAAGCCCAGCCACTTTTTCAAGGCTGACTGGATCAAAGGACAAGTTGGCTTCTGCAATGTGCAGTGGGTGACTGACAGTGTGAGAAAATTTGGTGAGGAATCCACATGAATCTGAGCTGAAGACTTTGAGTGAAGCAGAGAAACAGCATATTGTAGAGTTTGAAATGAGGTTACCAATAAGAAACCATCAGGAATTTTCTTCTTTTTATATAGCAAAGCTTCCCTCATCAGGAAAGAGAAAATTATTTTGCCTCAACTGCCTCCTATTAAATTAGAGTTGAGCCATCTCCTCACCTTTGAGCTCCCCTTCTTCTAAAAAGCACCGAGGGCTCTCTGGCTATGTCATCGGGGTTCCCTAATTCCTTCTGCAGTAGCCCACCCTTCACCTCTATATTTCTATCCCAGTTTCTTTTCAACACATGGATGGTGGGGGAAGAAATCTTTGCCCTCCCAGGGGTGAGGCCTTTGAGCAGTTGGGTGGGTGTTTCTCAATGTTATAACCCTCCACAATTTATTTTTCAAATATGTCTTTATCAAAGTCCACATTTTGGATAACATTTCAAATCCACTTTTCATTCTTTTATTCTCTAGCCTAAGTAGATTGATGAAATTGCAGCCCCCTAGATCGTTGTCCATGGGGTCGCGATGGGTCGGACACGACTTCGCAATTAACAACAAAAAGATCTTTGGACAGCTCTTCAAGGGATGGATGGGTTGTGCCCTTCTTTAAGAAGGCTGCTGTTGCTACAGAGACCAATCTCATGCCATCCAGCAGGACATCAGGCAAACTAATGCAGCCCTACAGGTGGCAACAAGGCATGAATGGGATTTGCTATTGGGATTAGGACTGGTTCTGGGAAGCTTCTTGGCTCCCTAATTTGGCATCCCCATTGTAGAAATGTACTCAGGGTGTTTTAGATGTTTGGGGACTGTCCTATATATCTCAATTCCTTTCCACTTGGGGCTCCTGCAAGAGAATGTTGCTTTCTTTGTTCTCTGGTTCCATGCTCTGCTCTCTTCCCTAGTAGCAACAATAGCATCACCACCTGTGAGATACCGTAATATTGGATCATGTCAGGAACCACACTAGTAAAAGCATGGACTAAAACTCAGCTTTTAAGGTTCTCCTGAAATTTAGATCAATGGACTAACTTGTTTGGCTTGAACTTGCCATATCATTTATTTGACAGTGATAGGAAAATGCCAAGTTGAGTGACAGAACAGATGTTTCCCTTAAATTTGATTCCAGGCTCAATACATGGGACCCCAGACTAGAAAGAAAGCCCCACTCTGAAATCTCAGGGAGTCACTGCCAATCCTAGTCAACAACAACAAATATGAACAAGATTCAGTGGGAAACAAAAGACAATCATTATTTATTTCCAGGTGATCTTACTGGAGACAACTTGTAATCCAGGTAAATACATTGGATTTTCTTACCTTGTAGAGCTTCTTTAAGATTTCTAGCAACATTATTTATATTACTTTGTTGAAGGACTCTGATGCACACATTAACAGCATCTTCTTCATAATACTGAATCAGGAGATCTACAACTTCTAGTCGCGTAGCTTCCTGCAATGAACTAACAGGAATGTTTTCCGTTCCATCGTGGTTAATACATTTTAGCCTCCATTTAAAGACTTCAAATTGATCTGGTTCAAGAGCATCCAATGCTTTGGAAAGATGATCGCGCACAGTGTTGTTCATTTCAATTATGGATTATATCTAAAATTAGAATTAAAGAATTAAACTAACTTTTTATGGAAATGAAGTTTGATGGCAACAATAGTTTCTGTTTTCAAATTAAACTAGATAACTCATTCACAAAGGTATTATATTACCCATTTCATAGCAGGGTGTTTATTTATTATTTATATTAAACCAGTTTAATAAAGTTCCTTTTTCCCCATATACAGCCATTTCTAATCAATAATCATAAGTTCATTTTTATCCATTTTGAGCAAACAATCTGTAAGGGATTTTCCATCTTTTATACAGTTATTGTTGTTCCCTCCCTAATCGAACTAGGCCATGTAGGCATTTCTGTAAATTCTACCATCTTCACAATCTACTCCTCTTTTGTGGATATTCCTATATTTTCCCATCTTGGTGCATGTAATAGCCTCCCTCATTGACCATATATAAAATCAATCATCCATGAGTTTTTTAAATTGTCTATCCGTAAGTTCTAGTAAGAAAAATTCTGGTTTCACCTGAATATTTTTTTTAATTCTCTGCTTAATCATACATATTGGCATCCAATATTTTTTTGTTATTTCACTAGTCTGCCATGCATGGTAAAATGTTCCTTTACGGTTTACATATTTCCAACCACACTTAGAAGTACTTTTATACAGATAGAAGTCTTACAATAGATCATTTTTACAGGGATAAATTTTTGGCCATAAGGCAATCAACTGAAGTTGCCGTAGTCTTTGTCACTTAGAGATATATTGGGAAGACAATACTGTCAAAATAAGAAACACCAGCAAATGTATACACCTGGAAGGAAAACAGCGCTGTATTTGAAATGATTGTCCTGAGCCAAAAGGAATAACAAACAGAACAATAAGAAACACAGACAAAAAATCCTCTGCAAAACTCCTGCTTCCTCCTTCCCAGGGGACAGATCAATTGACCGCCATCTGTAAATTATGTTAGCCATCTCTTTTACTAAAATGCAATAGCCACATTCTCCTCCCTTCTTCAAGCTGCTACAGCTAAAAAGAAAGAGAGTAAAAAAGCTAGGATGGAGAGGAGGAAGGAGAAAGGATTACTGCACTCGTGAGGGAGAGGAATGGAAGAACCATAGCAAGGCAAACTTCATGAAGATGAAGCATGGAAGAAGGTAAAAAGAGGAGGGAAAAAGAAGAGTGAGAAGCAATCAATTGTTATACACTGAGAAACAAATCTTAAGCAGTGCCTCTCCAACTATAACTTATCTTCAAACCAATCTTTTAAGACATCCATGGTTTATAACAGCAGCCTCTGAGGCTCTGGGAACCTCCAGCCCAGTCCCTCCTTTTCCACATCTTCCACTCCTCTCAGAAAAGGAAGTGCAGTACAGGATCTCCTTCACAAGCATTTACTGCAGTGGTTCTCAACCTGTGGGTCGGGACCCCATTTGGGATCGATCGACCATTTCACGGGGGTTGCTAAGCAAGGCTGTCCGCCATTTTTTTGTCCGCCATTTTTTCCCCCTTTTCCAGCGGGTCCCTTGGGCTGGGCCAGCTGGTGGTCGGCCTGCTCCGTCTCTGCCGCTTGCCAGCTACGCCTCGGCCGGCGCAGGGGGCGGAACCACGCATGTGCGGCGCTCCCGGGCAGGGAAAGTCCTCGACTTACGACCGGTTGGGTAGTCCTCGACTTACGACCGGTTTAGTCCTCGACTTACGACCGGTTTAGTCCTCGACTT